AGCTTAGCTGAATAATGCATAGCGTGCTAGTCAAGGTGACACAAGTTTGAGTTCTGACTCAGACGTTCACTAGCTGTGTGGCACTGACCAAGACACTCAACTTCTGTCTGCCTCAGGTTTCTCATCTGTAAACTGGGCATAATGCTTCTGCAGGTTATCACGAGGACCAAATGAGATAAGAGGCAAAGTGCTTTGCAAACCTTAAAGTGCTACACAATTACTAACTGTTCCTGTTAATACTCTTCAAAGGAACTGATTTTGTCAGTTTAATGAAAGTGTTTCCCAAGAGTCCGAGGCTAGAGGCCGTGTGGCACAATGGAAATCACGCAAGAATTGGAGACAAGAGGAGGAGCCCGGTGTCATTTCTTACCAATGCGTTCTCAGGCAGGTTCCTTCACCACTCTGGGCCTCAGTTGCCCCACCTGTAAAATTAGGGAGTGACCCTCCAAAAGCCTGGGATCTATGATCTTGTGATCCCAGGACCTCTAATGACCCTTTCAGGTAAAAAAAAAAAAAACCAATTCTATGGTTCTATGACCCACAATAAAATATTAATAATTCCTGCATAGAAATGAGAATGTTAGCAGGGTGCAGTGTAAAGAAGGTTGGCTTTAGAGTCTGAGGTTCCAAGTTCAAATCCTGGCCCCTTTCGTTATCAGCTGTGTGGCTTTGGTCAAAGCACCTTTCATCTCTAGGTCTCAGACTTGACACGTATAAACTGAGGGTGGAGCTGGTGACTTGTAAGGTTCCTTCAAGCTCTGACTCTTAAGATCCTATTAATCTGGTAAACTTTAGAGTCAGCAACTGAGAAGCAAAAAACAGACCCTGAGAAATGTCTGCAAATCACCAGCCTAGAGCACATTCTTTGACCATCAATCCCTTCAAGGAAGCACAGAATCTCCGAGCTGGGAGGGACCCCAGAGGCCAATGAGTCCAACCCACCCCTGCGCAGGGCTCCCTTCTATAACATCCCCCAGCAAGTGGCTGGCCAGCCTTGGCTTGGAAGACCCCCAGGCACAGAGAACTCTACTGCCTCAGGCAGCCCATCCCACTTGGGAATAATTCTCATTGTTAGAAAGGTTTTTCCTTCTAACAAGTTGAAATCTGTCTCTCTTCAGCTTTCACCTGGCTCTCCTAATTCTGCCCTCTGGGGTGTATAAACCTTCTTCTACTTGACAGCCCTTTGAATGTTTGATGACAGCAATTTTGCCTCTCTTGAATCTTTTCTTCCCCAGATTAAATTTCCCCAGTTCCTTCAACCAAGCCTTAAATGGCAAGAACCCAAATTCCTTCACCATCCTGGTCACACTCCAGTTAATCCGTGTGCTCTCTAAGACATGTCACCTCAACTGGACACAATGCCCAACTGCGGCAGAAACAGAACGGATGACCCTGGGACCCTCCCTTCCCCTGTAGGGGACACTCTGTCTCTATCAGTGCAGCTCAAGCTTGCATTGGCCCTGTTGGCCACCATGTCAGTAAGGTCAATTCTCCCCTGGGAACAGACTTTGGAACAGACTTCAAACATGCCCTGGTACTGGGCTAGTGGATGTTCATTCCTCCCACTCCCAAAGTACACAACCTGGGGGACATATGGTCCACAGGAAATGGTAGCAGCTTCCCCAGAGCCATGGTGACCCAGGGGCAGCTTGAAATTCCTCTTAAACAAGGTATGAATGCATCCATCTTACTCATATGTTTGTTATCTTCCTCACTGGAATGGAAACTCCTTGTTAGTAGGGATCCTTTCATTCGTTGTATGTATAGCCCAGGGTCCTGGCACAGATCCTAGCCCATAGTGGATGCTTAATAAACTTGATGGTTGATTGATTGGGTAAGTGAGTGGCTCTCCTCTCTTTTGCCCCCTTCATTAAAGGTATATTCTCTCCGTCCCCCCTCCTCCGCCCTCCCCCCATGGAAGTGGAAGATTTTCCAGCTACCCACTACTCTCCATCTGGGAATGATAAGGAAATGGATAATGAAATGGAGACACTTGGATTCCATGACCTCTATGATCCTTTCCATATTAAAATGGATAATCTTTTGAACTTCTCCATACAGAGGAGGAGACATGAAGTATGTCCTTCCAAGCTTGAAGGAAGTAGTAAGACATTTTGCTTGCTAGTAGCTTAAAGGGAAAGCACTTGTTCAGATCAATAGTTGAAAAATAGCTAATAGCTAACACATAAATAATGCCAACTATGTTCCAGGCATTGTGCTAAGCACTTTACAATTATTATTTCATTTGATCCTAAAAACAGCCCAGAGAGGTAGATGCTATTATTATCCCCATTTTACAGATGAGTAAACTGAGGCTAAAAGTGGGTAAAGTGACTTGTCCAGGGTCACACAGCTAGTAAGGATTTGAGGCTGGATTTAAACTTGAAAGAAAATTGTTATCTGCTCCCTCTTCTTCCTGGGTTCTTTGAGGGTAGTCATTGGTTGGAGAGAATGAGAATATGTTCCAAGGAATATTCCCTGATTCATTCAAGGTTAGCTAACAAGAGGGATCTGAAGGATCCTCTCTATGCCTCCCAGTGCTATGAAGCTATGTAGGCCCAGATGGACATTTTATCTTTGAAATTATGCTTGGGTTATGAAGGGGAGATTTTCTTGGCTGATTTTAAAGGTTAATCAAGGTTAATTAACACTTATGGGGTACATTCTCTCAAGTGAGAAATCAAAGGACTCATAAGATGCCTAAGCATTTTCTTTGTCCTTGCATGTGAAATGCTAACTCAGATTCTATAAGGGAGGGGGAATAAACTTCCTGTACACAAAGATCATAGCAAGGAAAGAGCAAGATTGTGAGTGGTTAAGGTTGAGAGTTTAAAGTCAGGAATACTTGAGTTGAAATGTCACAGAAATGTTATCTATTATTTATTAATATAGCTAGCTATAAATGTGTTTATGCATGTATATATTCAGTAGCAGGAAATACTGAACAAGAGTCCCTTCCACTTGATCAATACCCCCCTTAATTAATGGAAGAGCTCATTAAAAGCAAGGTCCACACTTTGCCTTGAGCGTATTGAAGATGCATGTAGGCACCTATGTGCATGTATTTGTGCATATGTGACAGAGACCAAATTCCTGCTAAATGTACTCATTACAAAGATGGCTTAATCACAAAATTGAGACAAGACCTTTAATCTGTTTTTAATAATACACATCCTTCTTCTTAAAAAGGACCAATGACATCAGGAGGGTGACATCTTGACTTACAAGTGAATTGGATTGCTCATTGTTTCAGTTTTGATGGCTCAGAGTGAGTGTAAATAGCAACTGTTTCTGTTCCACCCGAATGCTGAGCATCTTCTCCTCCCTGACTGATTCTTTTGTGAAGGCAAAGTAGACTGTCTTTTACCTCAACTCTTGCCTGGCCTTAAATCACGAGAAAGACCATAGCTTAAAATGGCCAACGGCTCCCACTGCACTGGGGCATCTCCAGTCATCCCTGACCTGCCTTGCCACTGAACTGAGATGGCTCTGGAAGAGAGAGCGAGGCCGATGACTTTGCACAGCCCTGCCTCACTTAAATCCAATTCACTTGCAAGTCAAGACATCACCCTCCTGATGTCATTGGTCCTCTTTGAGAATGAAGGAAGAACAACAATACACAGCTCCCAGGCTGTCCCCACAACTCTATCTCAATTTCTGTTCTTTTCCTTCCATTCACTCTCATTTACTGCTCTCTTCTGGGCTCCCCATGGGGTCACGAAAAGTCAGACACAACTGAAATGACTGAACAGCTCAGCTCCCCACACCCACTCATGAAAACAAAAGCCATAACATTCTCCATGAAGTTTTCCCCCAAGACAGCTGCCACTGCACCTGGGGAATCATTCTTGCAGGGATGTGTGTATGTAAGACAGATGGATGTGTGCATATGTATATACACACATATACCAAATATATGTCTATATAACACTTGTATATACATATGTATACATATTTATACATATATGTGTGTTTATGTGTGTGCATATGTTATATATATATATATATATATACACATACATACACTTGCAGAAATAACTACCAGTAGCTATGGAATTAAGAGAGGTATAGGAACGAAACATTTAGAAGTAGAAAGACCTTATGGATAAGGAAACTGGGGTATGGAAGAAGTTATTTGCCCAGAGTAACATAGATCACGACTAATAAATGTGACGGACAGCTAGGTAGCACAGTGGATCAAATGTGGCCTCAGACACTAGCTGTGTGACCCTGGGCAATTCACTTAACCCTGTTTGCTTCAGTTTCCTCATTTATAAAATGAACTGGAAAAGGAAATGGCAAACCATTCCAGAATCTTTGCCAAGCAAACCCCAGATGGGGTCGTAAAGAGTCAGACACAAATGAAAAACAACTAAATAACAATAATAAATGTGACATTCAAACCCAAGACTCACAACTCCAGATTCCAGACTTTTTCCATTACATCTCACTGCCTTCCAAAACTTGCCCTGGCACAGCAGAAATCTAGAGGGAAATGGAAAAAAAACCAAGAATGTCAGAGAAACACAAATCTGATTCCCCCAATGATTCCATTAATGACAAGTTTCTTCCGATGAGGTTGTTGTTAATTTAGTGAAGGGATCGCTACAGTGAAAAGGCCATGGGATTTGGAAATGGAGGACCTCGGTTCAAATCCTAGCTTTGCTTCTTGCTGCTCTGACTTTGGACAAGTCACCTGACCTCTCTGTGCCTCAGTTTCCTTATCTGTAAAATGAGAAGATTGGGCTATAAACCCTCTAAAATTCTTTCCAACACTGAATGTAAGAGGTCTGTTCAATCCTGACTGTTCCATAGTATCTGTGTGACTTCAGGCAACTCAGGAGCCTTGGTTTCCTGCCAACTTTTGTTTTGTTTTCATTTTGAGGTGGCTTTTTTCCCCTTTCTATCCCCAGCACTTAGTATTGTGCCTGGCATACAGTAGGCACTTAATAAATGCCTGCTTGCTCGATTTATTCTGTAAAACTATTCTTTTTTCATAGAATGAAGACCAAAGAAATCAGAAGATAACAGAAGATGTCAAATGCTCTTTGAGAAGGAAGACAAAGCTATAAAGTAAAGGAGGAAATCCATCAACTGGGTGGATAGCCCCAGACAACTCTTTAGGGGGATGAGAAGCCCGCAGTGGGAGGAATAAGGTAAGCAGAACTCAAAGCTTTTTGGAGAAGGGAGTGGAGGGAAGATATGGAGTGAAAAGTTTTTTTCCTTTCTGACAGTTTTATACAGCAGTGACTTATAAAAACATCAAACCCCGACATAATCTTTCCCCTCACATTTTAACACATCATTATATTGTTTGCAACATGAAATAAGTCTAGTGGGCCACGTGACTTTCTTTTATAGATTGCTTTTATCATAGCAATGTCACTTCAGGATAATCCTCAGTCTCCTGTTTTTATGGGAGGCTACGATCTATAAATGCCCAATGTGGCCAACCCCGAGCTGCTGTTCTGGATCTTCTAGACACATCATGAGCCTCCTTCAGATGTGGCTGTTGTGACATTTTTTCTTACCCTTTAAAAATAACCACCCCCCAAATGTATTCATAAAGTTATTGTGAGATTGTGAGTAAAGTCTCAGTCAATGGGAAGCAGGGAATGGGGCCAGCCTCAGACTATACCGCAGATAATGTGCTTGGTCGCCTGGTGAGATGGAGGCATTGTGGGTAAAGTTATGCTCATGTGGTCCATGGCAATGTTCCCCAGAGTGAATACACACCAAGGGGCCGGTGGGGTCTCTTGGGCCACTTCTTTTTGAATGCATAACTGATCTAGATTTGGAAGGCCAGTTGACAGATGAGGAAACTGAGGCCCAGATGTAAGAGACAGGGACAACATCTGAACCTTGGTCCTTTGACTCCAAACTCAGGATACCAAAGACAGAGTGGGATAACTTAGCCGAGATCAGTCACAGAACTGGGATGCGGTCTGTCGAGTCCCCCCAGCTGGAATTTTCAGTGGTCTGAGTGCCCCTAGCCATGGCCTCCCTTGCAGGTGATTGTTGGGAGTGTGGCCGAAGCTGGCTGAATGGAGGCTTTGCCTCAGTGCAAAATGCTGAAGGAGGCAGAATTCCCAAAGGCTGCTGCACCTTTGCCGAAAGCGTCCTTTCGGAATCTGTGGAAGGAGGAAGCAGCCCTGCCTTCCGCTCTCCCTCCCCCTCGAAGCTGCAGGGGTCTGGCATCTGGAGAATTCTTCCAGACGCGTTCATGGACGTTGTCCAACACTGGTCTATTTTGAACTTCCTGAATTCTATAAACCTAAATCATGTCCTGGATATGAAATTATTCCCATCTGTGGAGTTGCAAATACAGTAACACCTTGGTGGGAAATCGCAGACTAATCAGCCTAGATAATGGAAGGGACCCCAGAGACCCCTCGTTTTACAGATGGGGAAACTGAGTCCCATAGAGATAAGAGGGCCTCCTGAGGTCCCACAGGCACTAAGTGGAAAAGGATTCAAATCCAGGTACTCGGATTTCAAGCCCAGCACTCTCTCTCTAGTCACATGATATTCTATTTAAATGGATTTTCCAGATAACTAATGTTTACCCCTTTAGAACCAAAAGTTTTTATTAATGATGGTAGGTTTAGAGCTGAAGAGTTCACCATCCATCTAGTCCAAATCCTTTATTTTACAGATATGGGAACTGAGGCACAGAGAAGGAAAAATGACTTGTCTAAAGTTATAAGATCATACATAGATTTACAGTTGGAAGGATCTTTGAGGTCTTCTATTCCAAATCCCTCATTTTACAAATAAGGAAACTGAGGCACAGAGAAGTGAAGTGTCCATACGTTTATAAAATAAAATACATGTTTATAAATATTCATCTGTGTTTCTAAGATCCTGTGGCTTTTTTTTTCCTTTTTTTTTTTTTTTTTGTTTGTTTGTTTCTGTCCTCTTTGGGGAACTGGCAGTTTCTGCTTCTGCCATATGTCAACCTCTGGAAGGTTCTGCCTTTTCCTATTCTAATTTTCTTCTCCTAATTGTGAGCTGGGAAACCAGATCACTGCCCAGGCAAGAATTTGTGTGAGATGAGGGGAGGGGTGAATTGAAGGGCTTCCTTGGGCAGGTGAGCTTTGTGACCCTGGGCTAGGCATCTCTCCTTCTTCACCTTCCCTCCGGGCTTCCCTAGCCTCTTTCAAGACTCAGCTCCAGTCCTCCCTCACGTTTCAAAGCCATCCCCACCCCTTCCACTGCTAGTGCCTCCCAACTACCCCAATGTGCCTTGCGTGGACGTCATCATCTGCGGGCTGTCTCCCCCATTAGAAAGTCATCTCCTGGAGAGAAGGGACTGCTGGCCTTTCTTGGTCTCCTCGGTACCTAACCCAGTGCCCAGCACACAGTGGGCACTTGGTAAATGCTTGTTGACTGACTTAATTCCAGATTTGGGCTGTGTTCTTGGCTGAGGCTGTATGTGGTGTGCCATTTTCTCATAAATAAATCCAATAAACGTTTATTGAGCAAGCCTACAAGGTAACCTGGTGTAGCAGAGAGAGGGTCAGCCTTGGACTCAGGAAACCCTGGGATCAAGTTCTGGCTATCTCACGTCGAGTAAATCAATGAACTTCTTAATCAATCAGCAAGTATTTATTAAGTACCTACTATGTGCTAGTTACTAGGGACAGGCTACAAAGCCTGCCCTCAGAATGTTTGTATTCACTCAGGGCCTTACATTCTTAAAAACTGTAAGTTGTAGAAAAGCCACCTATCTGTAACCATGGCGGGAGTTTCTACACTGGAAGTACCCCACGATGTTGAAATCTCAGGCTCTCTCTCTCTCTCTCTCTCTCTCTCTCTCTCTCTCTCTCTCTCTCTCACACACACACACACACACACACACACACACACACACACACACACACACCCACCACCACCACCACCACCACCACCAAAAAACCCAAAATGACATGCAAGCCACTAAGAGTATAGGTATAGATATGAAAAACAATGCCACACCTGACAGGTTCTCTGAGGCTAGAAGGACCCACCTAGGATGTCTCCAAAAGCAGTTAGGAACCCTGATCATAGAATCATAGATTTAGGGCTGGAAGGGACTTCCCCCCCCTCCAGAGGCCAACTAGTCCTACCCCTTCCTTTGACAGATGAGGAAACAGACTTAGGTTAAGTGGCTTGCCTAAGGTCATACTGCTAATAAATGTCAGAAGTGAAATTTGAAAGTATGTCTCCCTGATAATAGCTGTATCTCCATAATGCTTTAAGCTTTGCAAAGCACTTTACCTATGTTAGGGCAGTTAGGTGGCACAGTGGATAGAGTACCCAGCCTGGAGTCAGGAAGTCTTGAGTTCAAATCCAGCCTCAGACACTTACTAGCCATGTGACCCTGGGCAAATCAAGATGCTGTTTGCCTCAGTTTCCTCATCTCTAAAATGAGCTGGAAAAGGAAATGGCAAACCACTCCAGTATCTTTCCCAAGAAAACCCCAAATGGGGTCACATGGAGTCTTAAATGACTGAAATGACTCAACAACTACATATATATCATCTCATTCAATCTTTCCAACCACCTTCTGAGGAAGAGGTAATTATCCCCATTTTACAGATGAGGAAATTGAGACTGAGAAAAGGTAGTGACTTCCCAAGAATAAAGCAGGATTTGAACTCAGGTCTCCCTGACCCTGGATCCAGCACTCTATTCACTGTGCCATCTCCCTGACTCCCAGTCCCATGCTCTATCCAATAACATCAAAAGCTGATCTAATGTAGCAGATCTCCCAATAGCTGAGTTTATATTAGATCAAAACTAAGAGAGTTTTCCTCGTCAGCTCCTCTTACAGAAAGATGTTCTTCCAGGACTTTTTCAGATTCTTCATAAAGGTTAAGGAGGAACTTTTTTCTATCTGTGTGACTTGAGAAGAGACAATTGATTTCTTTGGGCCTTAGTTTCCTCATCTGTAAATCAAAGAGACTGAACCTCTGAGGTCCTTTTTGATTCTAAATCCTGTGGCCCTGTGATTCCTCTGTATTCTTCCTCATCTGTCTGTTAGCCCTCGACTACCTCTCTTGCCTCTATCCCCATTTCTACTGCCACAAGGGAAGCAAAGGACGAGGGCCTGGTTGGAAATTCTGTTAGAATCATTTCTTGTCTCCAACACTCCTCAGATTTAAAGTTCATGAGAGCCAGGAGTAAATCAGTGGGGACCAAGCTGTCCACTATCTCTGCCAGGGACCTACATCACCACTCTGTGTTCTCTTCATACACTCAACTGACATTGAAAATAAAATGTACATTACCTTTACCCATTTTCTTTTTGTTGAAGGAAACAACTTATTTACATGGAGAGCTCGAAAATTCCATCCTCACTAGACAAAGAAGCCAATGACGATGAGTGATTGATATTCTGAAATTTCTGCCCCACTTTCACAGCCATACTATAAATCAGACAAGATATGAATTCCTGACACCCAACCAATGGGATCACATCTGGGAAAGGCATCAGCAACACAAGCAGAGGGTCCAGGAGGTCTGCCTCTGTTTTCCTTGAGTCTGGATTTCATACCCCGTCTTGTGTCTCGTCTTTCTTTTTCCATCTGGGTGTCCATGCAAGCCAGTTACACTGGCATTTCCTGGACCCCAGTGCAAAGGAGGAGACGTGCTATCGATTCATTCCAGATTCAACTTGACTTCAATCAAATGATCAGTCAACAAACTTTTAGTAAGAGGTCATTGAGAAGAAAGCCGCCGTCTATATCAAATGATTTATAGTAGCAATTTCTGTAGTAGCAAAGAACTGAAGCAAAGTAGAAGTCCATCAGCTCTCTGTGCCTCAGTTTCCTCATCAATCAAATGACAAAAATGATAACTGCAATCCTTACCTCACAGAATTGGTGTGTCAGAAGAGCAAATTATGTAAAGTGCTTCTCAGATCTTAGAGTATCATGTAAATGTCTGTTACTGTTTCATTATTATGATGTCTTGAGGTTCTCTGCAATGGAAGACTTCAATATGTCACTAGGTGAGTTTTGGGTTTGTGGAATGGAGAAATGAAGAATCTCTGGCAGTCTTATCAACATGAACTAACTAACGATTAGATGACAGTGTTCTGTACCCAGTAGGTTAATCAATAAACCATCAAGTATTTATTAAGCACCAATTATGTGTCAGATACTGTGCCAAGTTTGGGGGAAAAAAGTACAAAGAATGAAATAAACCCATTGACAAGGAGCTTCACATAGAAGAGATAGAATAAATATTTCTAGAAATCTAGACAGCATAAATATGAAGAGGCCAATTTGACTGGTTCCAGAGTATGGGAGAGGGATTAATGAATGTCCAGGGAGGCTTGGTTAGTGACAGGCTGCATAAAGGTTTAAAAGCTAACCAGAGGCATTTATTTTTCATTCCAGAGGCAATAGCCAAATCTGTATTTAAGGCAAATTACTTTGGTAGTAACATGTTGAATGGACTAGAATGGAGAAGCAACTTAAGACAGGAAGACCCACTAGGAGGCTGGTGAGAGGTGATGAGGGTCTAAACTAAGGTGGTAACTGTGTGAGTGGAGAGAAGGGGTCATGTGAGAGATATCGGGAAGAAACAAATGGGAAGAACCTGGAAAATAATTGGATATGTAGGGTGAGAGAGAGTGAGGCATTCAAGATAATGTCAAGATTTGGAGCCTGGGAAGCTAGAAGGACAGTGGAGTCTTCAACAGATTTAGGGGAGTGTGGGGGAGGAGAAGATTTGATGGGAAAATAACAAGATCCATTTGGAACATGTTGAGTAGTTCACTTAAATACATTGAGTAAAATGTCTCCTGACATTCAGTTTGAAGTGTCCAATAGGTCATTGGTGATACAGGATGCAAACTGAGGGAAGAGACTGAGGCCGAATGATAGAGCTATATGAGGCATCTATATAGAAATGGAAGTTAAACCCATGGGACCTGGTGAGTTACTGAGAGTACAAAAGAAGGGCAAGGAGAGAGTCTTGGGAAACACTCACAGTTAGGGAGCATGATGTGAAGGATGAACCAGCAGAGAAGATTGAGAAGGAGCCAAATAAAAAGTGAACCAGGAAAAAGAAGTGTCATGGAAACTCAGAGAGGAGAGAGAGAGAGAGACAGAGAGACAGAGGCAGAGAGAAAGAGGGAGAGAATGAATCTAGGAGGAAAATCTTCAACAAATGCTTCTTATATCATTATCAACCAATATAAAAGTATTTATTAAGCACCTGCTGTATGCCAGACGCTGTACTAGGCACTAGGCATCAACCAATGTGTCAAGTCAGCCAATGGACCTATGAGTTCTCAAGCTCAGCACGAGCTGACTGTATTGTGTGGCAGCCATAAAACTTGATGTAAGCTGAAGCTGCATGGAAAAAAAAGGCCCAGCTTCCAGGAAGAAGCGAGCAAGAGGCCTTCTCTTCTCTGCCCTAGCCACACCACAGGTGCAGCATTATATCAGTTTTATGTTCCACATGTTAAGAAGTTGGAGTGTTTCCAGAGAAGGGCAACCAGGATGCTGAGGAGACTGGAAGCAAGATTACTGGAGTAATGATTGAAGAAACTGGTTTTTTTTTTAGTATAGATAGATATCTAGGTAGATGGATGGATGGATAGATAGACAGACAGTAGATAGAAGATAGATAATAGGTGTATAGATAGAGAGATCGATGATAGGTGGATGGATGGATGGATGGACGGATGGATAGATACAGCATTTGTTACGTGCTTACCATGTGCCAGGCACTGTGGAGAACATAGTATTTGGTAGGGAGAGTGGGGTAGCACATTATAGATATGTTCAGGTATGTGAAGGGCTGGCAGGTGGGAAATGCTTTAGCCTTGTCCTGCCTGGCCCAGAAGGCAGACCCAGGAACAGTGGGCAGGTGTAGCAGAGAGACATACTTAAGTTTGGTGTCAGGTAAAGCTTCTAACAATTCAAGCTATCTCTGAGTGGTATGAACTCCCTCAAGATGGGGGAGGGAGGTGGGGTGGGGGGCTTCAGACAAAGGCTGCATGACCATTTGTTGGGGATGTTGGAGAGGATTTTTGTTTGGGAAAGAACTAGCTGACTTCTGCAGTTTCTTCCAGCTCTGAAAATCATTGACTTTTCCCAATCAGCCATTCACTCACCATTTGATTTCCAGCTGGTTTCACTCCATGCTGGTCAAACAAGTCACACTGGATTACCCATCTGAATTAAGACACCCAATCCAACCCAGAGGTCTGCACCATCAGGCAGCCTGTCATCCATGCCTGTCAACAAATGTCCCATTCACTCTCCAGTCAGATGGGACCCCTCAACCCAAGAGTATCTGAAAGATGTTGTCCAGGTCACAGATGGATGGAGGACCCCATCCAGCCCACACCTCCAAAGCAGCTGACAGGCTGTCCATCCAGAACAGCTGCCAGGCCTGTTTCCATCTGAGGCTTCTCCTCCTGGAAAGTGGCTGGGGGCTGAGTTCACTCAGTTGCCCTGGAAAGGGAGCTCAGTGCACAGGGCAGCCTCTTGCTCTTTGTCAGCTGCCAGAACTGTTTGGGCAGCTTCAGATACAGGACTAGTGGTACCTCTAAGGACCAGCATCTCCCATCCACACCGTGCCCTCTGCTTAGCCCCAGATCACTCATTCCTTACCCGGTACAAACCCCCCCTTGGCTGTATCCTCTCCTGCCTCTTCAGTGTTTTTATGCAGATGAAATCTGGTTTAATGAACAGTGAACAAACAAGCAAGATAGATAGGTAGACACACAGACAGAAAGACAGCTAAATATAGAAGATAGCTAGATAGATACAGATGGCAGATAGATACATGAAATGAATGAAGGAATGAAGTGACTAAACTATCTATCCTCTTTTGTTCCAAAGATCCATTTCTAGGCATATATACCAAGGAGGGCAAAAGCAAAAAGGAAAGGCCCACATTTAATTCATAACAACACTTTTTTGTGGTAACAAAGGATTAGAAATAAAGTAGGTGCCCATACACTGGGCTACAGATGAACATGGCAACATTTGAATATTTTGGAATATTACTGGGCTATTAAAAATGATGGTCGTAAATACAGAGAAGCATAGAGAACTTACATAGACTGATGCAAAAAGAAGGAAGATGAGCCAGGAAAATGACACGTACTACTGCAACAATGTAACTGAAAGGAATTAAAAAAAAAACCATAGCCGAATACTGCATAACTATAGTGGGCAACTTTGAGCCCAGAGGAAATGCCTTGTACTCCTTTTGTTGGAGAGGTGATACTCTATGTGGGTGGGGAAATTGCTTACAGGTTCAGATGCAGTGAAGATGTCAGGTGATTTTTATTAACTGTTGCTATTGTCTTTTTCTTTGTTACAAGGGAAAGTTCACAGGCAGGGTGTAGAGGAGAGGAGAAGAATGCGTCTGGGAAAGACTGTGATGTAAAAACAAAAGTCATCAACTAAACTTTTAAAAGTTAATTGAGAAGGTTAGTCTTTAAGGGGACACTTGGAATACATCATAAGTCACTTCACAGAGAATAGAGGAAGGTTGTGGAAGGGGAGTTAACTTGGAGGAGAAAACCACAGATTTGGACCTGCACGGGACCTCAAAGGCCATTTTGACCAACCGGATCATTCTTCAAATGGGCAATCTGAGGTCAAGGGAATGACAGAACCAAGATCCAAACCCAGGTTCTCTCCCCCATATCCCTTTACAAATACTAACCAGTGTCTAAAGGCTGCTTTACCATTTATAAACCATTTTCTTCCCAATGGCCCCAAGAGACAGCTGTCCACATTGGACAGGTGATGAGTCTGTTTCTGCCTTGTATTCAGGGTGAACTGGAAAGCCCTCTCTCTGCTGACTCCAGGGGCCAACTTGATGCTGTGGATTGAGGGAAGGGGACTTGTCTTAGGTCACCCTGCCATTTGTATTATTCTTCCGGACTTATGGGGGGACTGCTGCCTCCTCCCTGATCTGCTGCTTCCCAGGGCCCCATATGCCTGATTCCAGCAGCCATTCGGGGTCCCCCAAAGAATGGACCAAATAGCCCCATTTCTGAGGTCAGATTCTCATCTGACAGGGCATTGGATGTGGATTTTCTTTTTAAGGAAAAAAAAGTCTTTTGTGAATTGCTCTACTCATTCTCTCCTCCTTGTCCTCGATGGTCTCTGTGGCCCCTCTCATCCATTCAAACCTTTTTGCCTTTCAAGGCCCAGCTCTGTTCCCAACCCACTTCAGCCCATGCTAATCTGTTTCCCCTCAGCTTGGACTCAGCCTGAACGACAGACAGTGTCTCTTATGCTGCTGTCTGGTTGGCTCATGCACTTGTCATGTCTCTCACAGAAGGCAGGGCCTGTCTGTGCTTTCTTGTGTTTTCCCCAAAGCACTTCTCACAGGGCTGGCTGGGCTCTTAGTAAGTTATCAATAAATCCTTGTTGGCTTAACTTATTAATTGATGGAGCCATTGTAATATGAAACATTTATCACACTGGCCTAAAGAGAAAAAAAAAGTTTCCCAAAGAAACCTGATTAAACAGGGGTCTTATTCCCACCAAAAAACGTTCCCAAAATATTTTTAGGAGTTCACCCAGCAACAGCTAATCCCCCACTAACAGATAAGGTCCACTGGGCACATGCCTCCTGGCCAGGAACTGGCCAAACCCCATATCCTAAAAATACAAAGCCCCCAAGAGCCCAGGGAATGCATTTGAGATAGATGCCATCCTCATTACCCAGGAAACCAGCCAGGTTGCTCTCCACTGATCAGCCCTTCACGAAGATTGGAAAAGTCAATCTCTTTCTTTTGTCCCCTGGAGCAGCATTTTGGTTAAAATTTCCTGCCTCATTTTTGGCCTTCTGATCCCTGTTTCTATGCCAACGGGGCAGGCTGCCAAAAGCCAAATGTGGCTGGCACACTCAGAACTTGCCCAGATTGTGGCCATCCAGGGAAACTCATTCTTCCCAGGCACCCCAGAGATGCAGAAGCTCCTCACCACCAAGGGCTTATGTCTACCTCAGGAACAGTAGCTGACAGGGCTGTCAGATATGCGGGGGTTTTTTTTAAGGGAAAAACAGTCTTGCATGATTTTGTTCTCTGCTTCAAGGGCTTGGGAGGAAGTTTTGAAAAATTCTCCTTTTCCCATGCATTTGCATAAGTGGTCTCCCATGTCTGGA